CACACACACACACACACACACACACACACACACACACACACACACAAACACTCTCTCTCTCTTTTCTTTGGTTCTCGCTTTAAAACAGGGTGTCACTACTTGGATTACTGACCAGGCCGGCCTTGAACTTCCTGGATGTTGGGGATCCTTCCGCCTTAGCTTCCCGACTTCTGGGGTACAATCTCGTGTTAAACTCGCTGTTTTCGTTTGTTTGTTTTTTAAATATATCTTATGCAACGGCAAGCAAACCAACTACATTCATTACTTAAAAAAAAAAAAAAAAACACGTAAGTTTTTCTGGCTACAAACTTACGCTCCAATATTTTTGCTCCTATAAATAGTGCTGCAATGATCATTTTGCAATATCTTGATTTTAGTTTTTATTTCTTTAAACTAGATTCTTATAAGACTTTTCATTCTTTTAAAAACTGGAAAGTAGGGGTACCTTACTGTGCTATTATCCGCTACTCACCATATAAGAAAGAGCCGAATTTGTGGTCGAGTCCCTAGTTTGAATCTTGGTTCGAGCTCTAAAACAACATCCACCAGTTTCATAAGAAAAACTTTACGTTCTTTTCGCTTTGCATAATATCGAATACCCATCATGCACTCTTTACCGCCAATATTTTGAAATGGGCGGGGAACCGGATGTAAAAGTAGGGGGTCGAAAAAAAAAAACACCTTACTTCTTTCCCTAGGATATAGATAGGAGAGTGAGAATCCTGGAGCCCTTGTTTCTCCAGGAACTAGAAAACTGGTGCCTATGAAATGGGTGTGCAACTTGAGCTTAAAGATAGGACTGGATGCATCAACATTCAACCCAACTCCATCCCCACTTTTCTAACGCCTGGCAGTGCCTGGCACAGAGTGGTCAATTCCATGGATCTTAACTCTGCAAGGTTGCTGCTAGCTGGAGTTCAAGGCCAACCAAGTCTTGCTCTACTATGCCCCCTTCTGGTCACCTGGATATGACTGGAGAAATGGACTACATTTCCCGGCATGCCTTAGAAAGACTTCCGGCCAGACTGGAAGGATGTTGGCGAATACAGTTGAGGCGGTGCACTCCGGGGAAGGCGTCTGTCTGTATATTGGTTGGCGTCTGTCTGCTGCGGTGCAGTCATGTTTCTCCAGTATTACCTCAACGAGCAGGGCGATCGCGTCTATACGCTGAAGGTAAGGGGGTGAAACATCTGTATATCAGGAGGACGAGAAATTTAGGTGGGAGAAGCGGTTTGAACCGGCCACTGGCCTGCGCAACCCGGTACGTGAAGCCATGTGGAGGCCAAAACGTGGTAGATATGGGCAGTGCGCGGTTTCTTGTTCTGACCATCACGTCTTCTAGCTTCAGGTTTCCCGTTTTCTTGCCCCCTTCCTATCACACCACTCATATATTGAGATCATTTTGTTTCTTTTCTTGAGCAGAAATTTGACCCTATGGGACAACAGACTTGCTCTGCTCATCCTGCTCGGTTCTCCCCAGACGACAAATACTCAAGACACCGAATCACCATCAAGAGACGCTTCAAAGTGCTTATGACCCAGCAACCGCGACCTGTCCTCTGAGGGTTCGTTAACCTCTTGAGCTGCCCGCCCCCCCGGCCGATTATCAGCAACCAGATGTCTCAATCCTGAGCCGCGAAGCCTTCCCCTGCTGTTTGGAATGCTATCTTATCTTAACTACGTGATTGATTAGATAGTGATGGGCATCGCCCATGAAAGGAACAGTCTTAACTTTTTTTTTTCTTTCATGTTTTGACTTACTGCCCGGTTATTAAAGATACAATAACTTAAAAGTTCATTTTGTGTGTCGTTGGAGGAAAAGATAGAGGGGGATTAGTTCAGTTATTAGTACAAGGCCACTTAAAAAAATGCTTAAAAGCCTTACTGTAGCAGGAGACCTGTGCGCTAACTGTTGGGATGTTGGGGAAGAAAGGCTAAGACTCCTACAGTGGTCAGCAGTCGCTGAAAAAAAAAAAAAAAATACTATCTGAAGTAAATTGTAGTCCCTCTAACATTCTGAATTTTCCAAAGAATAATAAAGGCACAAAGACTGGATTGGAAGTTAGTAAACTGGTACTGTTTCCCCCCTTTCTATGAGAAGTAAAGGCATCCAACTTTTCTAGTTCTGTTTTTCTTATTTTAAGGGGTTGGTGGTAGAGCATTTTTTTTTTTTTAAGATTTTTTTTTTAATTTATTTCTTTTATGTATGAATGTCCTCTCAGCGTGTGTGCCTGCATGCCAGAACAGAGCATCAGATTTCAGTATAGATGGTTGTGAGCCTCCATGTGGTTGCTGGGAATTGAACTCAGGACCTCTGAAGGAGCAGACAGTGTTCTTATCCTCTGAGCCATCTCTCCAGTCCCCAAGTGGTGGTGGAGCATCTTAATAAATACACAGTGTTTGTTCCGCTGTCATAAGTGGGACTGTCATTGACCAAACTTAACTGTTCTGGAAATATACATACTTTTCTTTCTAGTTAGCCTCCATATATTATTCTCTTTGGCAGCTAGCAGCAATGTGGAAAGGATTTTGTTGTTTTCCAATCTAGTGTTTTGTTTTTTTTTTTTTTTTTACATGTGTGTGTGTGTAAATTTTTCTTTGAGAAATAGAAGTTTTAGGACTTCAGTGACTACCATGGGACAGGCTTAAGTGATTTTTGTTTTTTCCAAGACAGGGTTTCTTTGTGCAGTCTTGGCTGTCCTGAACTCACTTTGTAGACCAGGCTGGCCTTGAACATATAGATGTTTACCTGGCTCTGCCTTCCAGAGTGCTGGGATTACAGGCAATAAGTGATTATATTTGAGACAGGGTCTTACTGTGTAGTCTAAAATTGACTATGTAGACCAGAGTTACCTTGAACTCACAGAGAAATGTGCCTGCTGCCTCCCAAAGGCTCGGATTAAAGGCGTGTACCACCGTGCCCAGCAGCCTAAGTGATCAGTACCTCACTTTCAGGAATCTTGTAGACCAGGCTGGCCTTGAACTCAAGAGATCCACCCTCCTCTGCCTCCCTAGTGCTATGATTAAAGGTTTTCTCTAGAGGCATGCCTAACCTAAGAGATCTTTCATCCAAGTATTTTATATTAGAGTGTCAGTGACGTAAAATGTTGTATTCGGGCATTCAAGAGGCTAGTTGGCCTCTTCCCCTCCTTGTCAAGTTAACCAGCTCACTATCTAAAGTCTTCTCATTCCTTGACTGGGATATCGGATCTGAATGTGTTTATGCTTACTGCCTCTAATTTTTTTAAATAGGTTTTTTTTATTATTATTTGTATGTGTGTTTTGCCTGTGTGTTTGTATGTGTACCACATTTGTTTCAGATGCCCAAAGAGACAAAAGAGGGCAATGGATCTCTGGGATCTGAAGTTAGGGGTGCTTTGCTTGTTAGTGCCACATGGGTACTGGGAATGAAACCTGGGTCCTCTGCTGAGCAGTCTCTCTAGCCCCAGTGCCACTAATTTTAGGCTTTCTTTATGGCTACTGTATTCTACAGTCTTGCTGAATAGTCACTAGGTAGAAAGTTCAGGATTGCTGTTGACTGTTAAGAAAGAAAAAAAAAATCATCTGACTTGTATCAAGTAATTTTGTTTCTTACCTCATTCATGACTATAGTTTTAGTATTGTACTAAAATTAGTACATGACAGCTGAGGCTGTCCTTAACACAGTAGGTTTGAGAGTTTTTCAAACATGCACAAAGCCATATAGAAGATCAGGTTTGGTGGTGCTCCCTGTACAATTCCAGCACTTTGGGAGGTGAAGGCAGGTCAGAAATTGAAAATCATCCTCTGCTACATAAAGAGTTTGAAGATATCCTGTGCTGCATGTACTATCTCACTTTGTCTCCAAAGGTCATAAAAGGTATTTTGGCCAGCAAAGGTACATCACTGCCAAGCCTGCAGACCTGGGTTCAATCCCTGGGACCCAGATATAGAAGGACTCTTTTACATGTGCACACCTTAAAAGGTAAGTGCTTAAAAACAAAAACAAAACATTTTTTAACCTTACCCTCACCCCCACTGGTGATAGAATAGGGTTTTGGGTATGTCTATCCAAAAGACCTACCTCTATCAAAAGTTAATACAGTTTTACATTTTAGTTGGAATTTAATTTTATACCCAGACTATTTAACTAAACTGGGAATTGTCATTTGATCAAAGGGGATTTCCAGACCCAGGATTTAAGACACTTCTGATCCATGACTTAAATTTTTTAAATGTTTTATGTGTATGTAAGTGCACCACTTCTGTCCAGTGCCAGCAGAGGTCAGATCTTCTAGAGCTGGAGTTACAGGCTTTATGAGCCACGTGTGAGAAGTGGGAACCGAATTGGGGTCTTCTGCAAGAGCAGTAAATTCTCTTAACTACTGAGTGGTCTCTCTAGCCCCTTGACCATTTGTGCTTAGTTAACTATTTGCACCTAGGAGGAACCAAGGGAGGTGCTCCAGCTAGTTTATGCATTTTTGATCAAACTTACAGGAAGTTTTCAAACAAAACATTGTTGAACTAAAATTTATTAAATTCCATGCATTAAACATTCTAGTGACAGTAAAGTAGGTCAAACATTGGAAATGGAGAAAAATGTCTTCTCCATGTCTGCATAGTTCTCTTTAATGGACGATTAAGTCTGGCTTGCGATTTTCAAAAGGACAGGAACAAGAAGGGGGAATGTAGTCTACATTGAAGATGGAAGTACGCTAGTGTTTTAGAAAAGATTGCTGAAATTTTACAGAGGTCACATCTAGGGTAAATAGATACGGTAATGGGAGGAATGGGTACCAGAAAGTTAAGGTTTCCAGAGATATTCTAGTTAGAGATGGCCCTTGTGGTTTCGGGATCATTGGGCATTGATTGCCTCTGAGCTACAGACTGAAGTACAGCACAGGGGACCCAGGAAAAAGCATCCCGCCACAGGCGAGCAGACCCCGGACTGCAGTTCCCGTCATGCTCTCTGTGAGAGCCGCCGGCCCGCGCAGGCGCGTTCCATCCGTCTCGGCGCTGCAGACTCCGGGCGGGGCTGCTGGTGCCCGCGGGACGGCGCCGCCCTCCAGCTGCTCCCCAGACTTCTCCGGACGGTTAACCTCGAATGAGGAACGAGTGGGGCGGGAAGGGGAGGGCTGCGGCGGCGCGGGCACAGCCCGCCGCGCCCGGGGCTGGGGGCGGCGAGGTCACGTAACGGCCTCGGGCGTCTGCCGGGGAGGGGTCCTCCCGCGCGTCGCGGCTCGGAAACAGTTAGCGGCTAGTAAACAAGAGCTGCGCGCGCACCCGCATCAGCTGGCGCGGGATCCCGCACCTGCGACCTCCTTCCTAGCCGGGACCAGCCTGCCTGGCGGGCTTCTCGGCTGAGAGCCAAGGAAAGCCGGCGAGACGCCACCCGCGCCGGGCCGGGGGGGAAAGCGCGTCCTGTCACACGCAGAGCAAACACCGCGAGCGGTCGTGGCTCGAGGGACTCGACGACCTGCCACGACCCGGAGCTGCTGTAGGAGCTTCCCTGATCCACTAGCCGCCGCCTCCAGCTCCTCTGCTAGGACCGGACCTCTGGGAGGCAGGAATCGACTCTGCCCCGGCATCCTCTGGTTGCTCTCCTCTTTCTCCATCCTGTAGTGTGGGGGTATTTTTCCCGTTATGCATGCGCATCTCTTTCACCAGACCCAAGTGGATTATCGACCTCAAAAACATCGGGTGGCTCAGCACACATCTCCTCCCAGCCAGACCTGTGGGGTATTCACCTGATACACAACAGGTGGCCGGTGCACACCTTTCCGCAATCTGATTGATCCACGCTATATTCTGATAAGGGTGGGCCTGCATGCTCTTTCCTCAGCTAGAACGGTGGGACACTCAGCAGATAAAGGACTAACTACCTCATCAGGACCCGGGGGTTGAGCAGAGAGAGGCGTCACCAGCTGCTGTGGAACATGGCACGGAGCCCTCAGCCCTGGACCAGGGGAGGATAGCTAGGATCCTGAAGGAATCTAATTACACAGGATTAGCATCGTTTGTTCTCATTTTGTTTCTCAAAAATTATTTTTCAGTTACTGGTGGTGCACTTTATAAAACAGTTGGCTTGAATTCTAAGTAGAAGGATTGATTCTTAATTGAGTCTTTGTGGGATGTAAATCAAGATAATTGTTTTTTTTTTTTTTAAGTTTTCTATTTTTGCAATCAAAAGTAGCTAGCGTAGGAGGAAGAGTTTTTGTGAGCCTTTGCTTTTTTCTTTGTCAAAAAGGAAAAAAAAAAATGCATCCTCCAGAAACCACCACCAAGATGTCTTCAGTTCGGTTCATGGTGACACCAACAAAGATTGATGACATCCCGGGTTTGTCAGACACCAGCCCGGACCTCAGCTCTCGATCTAGTTCCCGAGTGAGATTTAGTTCCCGAGAAAGTGTGCCAGAGACAAGCCGTAGTGAGCCTATGAGTGAACTGTCTGGGGCCACCACTTCTCTGGCTACTGTTGCCCTAGATCCTTCCAGTGACCGGACTTCTAACCCCCAGGAAGTTACCGAGGGTAAGTAGAGACAGGATGCTGCGACCACGGGGTTGTTCATGCAGGGTAACTATCCTGCTCTGTTTTGTAATAATCACCAGGAATTAAGGCCCCCTTTTCTGTGATGCTTAGGAGTCTGGGAATAATAACTACTGTAGTAGGCCACTGCAGTAGTCATTTGGCGTGGGAAGGCATCCGGCAAAGAGGGCAAGGAAATGTATATTTGAGTTTCTCATTTTTGTCTTATGTCTAATTTTTGGTTCAAGACAAGTAACAGAGACTCAGATCGCTTACAACACAGAAACTCCAAAACTGTAAAATTTAACAGGCTGGATATGTGCTTTTTAGAGAGCTTTGGGCTCCGATTCTTGTCAGCTTTTGAGGCTTGTGTCTTAGTGGCCTCTTCCAACGACTTAGCTGTGCATCAGAAAATTATTTTTTATAGTTATGATTCTCTAGATTCTTTAAAGTAGCTGAGTACCCTCAAGGAGGGGCTGTTCCGCTGAACAGAACTTGCAAAGAGGCCTCTAGTGCCCAATCCCCACCTTATTTCACTGCTGAGCTTCAGATAACTATTTTGTGTATTGTATTGGGTTTTCATAGTCAGGACATATAGAAGCCACTTCTGCTCCTGTGGACCACTTTCCATACTTGACCTTGAACTAACCAGGCTGGCTTATGTTAAAAGTTTTCGTTTGATTTAGTGGGAAGGGGTGATGCAAAGAGAAATAAGATATATTTTTTTTCAGGTAAAGTTTGAGAACTGTCACTTTTATGCCACATTCTGACCGGTGTAATCTTTATATTAAAAGAAAAAAAAAAGTTTTTTCCTTAAGAATCTTTAAGAGTCTTAAAAATTCTATTCTACTGAAGTTGAACAAAACATGGCCTTGGCCACTGGCTTGTGAAAATTAGAGTGACTTACCATTTCCGGTCTCAGGAAATACTGTTCCTCCTGACCTTAAGTGATCCGGAAGCCAGCATAGTTGTAGTTCCTCAATTTTGTTTGTTCTAATGTCTTGAGACAAGATAGACTTGGTAAAACTTATAGTTCTAGAATTAACTAATCCTTAACTAGTCTTTTTCTTTTATGGCAGTATTATGTGTTAATTCCTGGTCTAACTGCTTTCCACCTCTTGATAAACCTTACATTGGATTATATACACTGTTAAAATTAAAAATATGGAATAAAAGATCATAATTTTCTCTTCTGCCAAATTTATTATTTTTGTGAAAGGATCTCAAGTTGCTCAGCCTGGTCTTGAACTTTCTGTGTGGTCAAGGATGAGCTTGAACCTGCCTCTACCTCCCAAGTGCTGGGATTGAAGGCCTACTCAACCACACCCAGTTTATGTGATGCTGCAGATGGAACTCAAGGCCTCTTGTATGCTAGGCAGACACCCTATCAACTGAGCTACATGCCCAGCCTGCACCAAATTACTTCCAAATTATACTGTTAGTCTTTAATCCATCACACAACATTTAAATTGTAAAAAAAAAAAAAAATGCCACTTAAAAGCTACAATCTGGGTAAGTGCCTTCAAGGAGTTCTGATACCTTTTCTGATTCAGTCCTATATTGCAGTCAACTCCATAAGGTCTCATGTCCATATCACTACTCTACACTAACTTCAGTACCTACATCACTGTGTTGTTTTTATTTATATATTACCTTTCTCAACCACACTGTAAAGTTTTTGAGGGGCAGGAACAGTTTTTGTACCTAGTATAATGTGTGCTATCACTTCTACTTTGTGTTCAATAGTAAGTTGAAGAACTTCGAGACATACCCAAACAGACAAATTCAACAGAAGTTAAAAAGATAATGTGAAAGTCCAGAGATGGTGACACACTTCTTCCTCCAGCACTTCTGAGGTAGAGGCAGGCAGATCTTTGAATTCGAGGCCAGCCTGGTCTGCACACTGAGTTCCTCGGCAGCCAGGGTTACACAGAGAAATCCTGTCTCAAAAACACAGAAAGAAAGATGGTGATAAAGGGAAATGAAAGGCAACTACTGAAGCAGAAAAGCTTCATCTGGTGTATGTTATAACTATCTAAAGAATTGTTTCCAATGTTTCTGTCCTAGTCCCGTTCCTAGAGATTTATTTTCATTAATATGAAAAAAAAAAAAAAAGCCAACTCTTTAGCTCAGTTGTGAAGCCAGTGTTGACCACAACTCAAAGTGGAAGAGTGATTAATGCTGCATACATGGAAAACACTTTCATATCTGAGCTGGCATTTGAAAGGTGAACCAAAGTGCACCAAAATGGTTAGGGCACATCTAGCTTTTTCTTAAGTGCTAGAGAATGTTACAGAATATTTTATCTACATTTGGAACCTACATTGTAATTGGAAGTTGCCTCCCAGTTCTGTGATATGGTATAAGTAGGCCTTGTCCAATCCCAAATGTGAGGGTTAGAGCAGAGTGAGAAACTTGGAAAGTGATGTGTTTTGCTTTTCATAGGACTGTGGTTTTAAAATTCCAAGAACTTTTGTTTGTCCGTTTGTTTTCTATGACAAGGTCTCACTATGTAGTCTTAGCTGGCCTAGAACTTGCTATGTAGACCTTACTGGAGTTGGACTCACAAGAGTTATCTGCCTTTGCCTCCTGAGTGCTGGTATTAAAAGGGTGCACCATCAATTCTCTGCTTCATCAGGCATTTAAAAATTATATTTTTCAAATAAACATCATCTGTTTTCCCCCAAAGCCAAGACAAACGAATTTCACTGCATACACCCTTTTCTTAGATATACTATTAATGCTTATTGACTGCCTCCCATGTTTCACTTTTGCTCATTTATGACATAGTATAAGGAAGTAAAATGGATAACATAAAAATATCGATCTGGTACCTTTTTATCTTACTTGATAGCATCCTCGGATAGATTTTTTTTTTTTTTGAAAAGACATTTTAGTATCACATATTCAAAATCTTTGTGTGGGTCTATATGTTTATGTGCAAGCATGGGCTAGAGATATGTATGGGTGTGTGGAGGCCAGAGGAAACATTGTCTTCCTCAGCCACTCTTTACCGTACTTTTAAAAACAGGATCTTTCATTGAACCTGGGGCTCATCTGTTCAGCTAGGCCAGTTGCGTAGCCAGCAGGGCCCAAGGATCACCCTGCCTCTGCCTCCACAGTGTTAGATTGGCATACAGTGCTGCACCAACTCTTTACATGGGTGCTGGGGAATCTAAGCTCCGGTCCTCATGTATGCTTAGCAAGAGCTTTGTGACTGATCCATCTTCCTGGCCTTCCAAAACATTTTGATTTAAGGCTACAACTGTTTTCCTCCTCATCTTTGTACCCCATATTAACATTAAAATATATAGCATTCTGCCTCCTCCTTGATTATGGCATACTTTTTAGGTACCTTGGTGCCTAAGGCTAGTAGAATTCTCAAGACATACCATAGACATGGGATGTGTGAACTGTGATTGATGAATAGACTGAAGAAACAAACTTGATATGGCTTATTTTAAAACTTGATAATATACCACTGCTACTCTGTACCACAAAACAATCAGCCAAATTCAGAATATGAGAAATTTTATTTAATAACTAGATTTTTCAAAACATAAATGGCACAGGGGAGAAGAAGAGTGATAAAGAAGGAAACTTTTATAGATTAAAATGAGCTGTTCCAAACAAATGCAGTGTGTAAGTTTGGTTTGGCTTCTACAGTGACCAGAACAACTATAAAAAGACACTTCTGAGATAGTAGGGACTGGGTAGGATAGTGTACATCTGTAGTCCCAGAACTCAGGACAGTGAGGTAGAGGGATCAGTTGTGCTTACAAATAGGCCACCAACCTGAGCAACATGGTGAGATACGGCCTCAAAAACAAATGCAAATCACAATTATTGAGGTAATTTGAAATACATGGTATTAAAAAATTAAGGAATTAGTAATTTCGTTAGGTCTGCTTATGATATTGTTGTCATGTGAAGTGGCTCCCTTAATTCCCCCCCATATACATCAAGAGAAAAAAGCTTGGAAAAATGTTTAATATTTACTGTTGTAAAAAGAACATGAAGAGCCATT